GAGACTATTTTCCAGGTTACTGGCATTTCTAGAAGTTGTAGAAATCCAAATAGCAATTTAGTACCATTTCACCTTAAGCTTGAATCACATATATCAAATAAAGCAACAGCAGCAAGAACAACAAAATCTATTCAAGCCCCTTTCTATTTCCATTTTATCTTCAAGTATTCTTGTACTATCAAATATTAACTAAATTTAATCATTTGGTGACTTAAACATTTTGTATCAATTTTCTTGAAATTGGTCTTTTAAAGATTTAGGGATTGAATAGATATTATCTTTCCTATCTAAAGCTGTGATTTAGTATGATGATTTGAGCCTATTCCATGTCGATAGAATTGAAATCTTTTTGTAGAGTTCTGTGCACATTTGAATATAGTTTGTAAGTTGAGAAAAGAGACAAACAAAGAAATGGCCTCTGGTGTGCGAGGGGAAGCTGAGGGATCCCTTTCAAGAGTTAGAGCAGGCATAGAAGAGGTCCTTGTTAAGTATACCTCTCTTGATTTTCAGACAAGAAAAAATTCACCATGAACCATGTGTGCCCTGTCTTTTTGTAAACCATTGGTCTAAATAACAAAGTGAGGCCATGTAATATAAAATGTGGGCACTCTCAGGAACTCTGTGTGGAATACCACTGCTAAATCAATTACTCTATGTCCTACATCCATCACCGAGACAGCCAAATAAATGGCTGGGCTCTAGTACAGTCGGCTAATTTCCCACATAAAACTTCAATTGCAAAATCCACAATTTCTATTTTGTGCTTTTAATCTTCTTTTGTTCCTTTTTCTTTAATTATGTACCTGGCTTGGGAACTCACGTGTTAGGTGCTTGAGAAAGGAGCAAATAGCTTTCTCACTATGATGTATCATTGCTCACACTGTTTTACATCACCAGTTACCTGTTCTGAAGTAGTGTAAGGATTTCCATGCCCTTAACAATTTAACAATTGCCTCCTGGTTCAGAGATATGCTTGCTACCCCTAAATAGACCATAATATTCTGCCATCTACATTGAGATATAACTTCACTTACAGGTAAGTAATTGGATATTAAGTCATAAACTATATACTTATTAACTTCAGAAATTATGGTTTCAATGAAAAGAAGCCTGTAGTTATAAAATCTGCTCTTCCCATGTGTATGTGTGCATAAATGTGTGTGTGTGTGTGTGTGTGTGTGTGTGAGAGAGAGAGAGAGAGAGAGAGAGAGAGAGAGAGAGAGAGAGTAGGCATATGAGGAGGGCTACTAGGTACACTGCTGTGTGCTTCATGCGTCTCTTCGTCCTTGGTTCTCTCAACTGCTGTATAATTAGCCTTCATTTATAGGTGAGAGAATCCATCCAAGGTCATGCAGCAAGTCATTCAGAGAGCTGGGGACTAAAATGAGTCTGCTCCCTGCCATTCCAGAGTACAGTGGAAAATGATGCTAAAATGTCCTTCTCAGCAACAAGCCACAGCGATCTCTCTGGTTAGTTCCCTCTTCTGCAAATGTAAGAATTGAATTATGTGAGGTCTAAGGGCCTATCCTAATGCAATATTTTATGATCTTTTTTGTAAAGGGAGTTCAATAAAATCATGACTTCTCTGAGTCTCCCATAACCTTCCAACGTGTGACTAGCGATGCATAGATTTCAATCCTGGGGGAATGGGAATGTTCCTCTATGACAGTCAGTCTCATGTCGAAAGTAGCCTCCATCACTTAAGTCGAGATTGATTGGTTTATGTCATGTGTGTATACATTTGCATGACTCGATTGTGGTAAAACGTTAAATTCTAGGCATTTCAAATAAAAGGTAAGAATTAATTTGTATTTGAGGCAATATTTTCTTTAAAGAAGGAGGTTCTAGGACTAACTGAAACATGTTTCTGTCTCCACTACTTTGCATACGATTGATGCTTAGTAAATGTTTTGGATATAATTAATATGACAAGAAATTGTAAGCATCAGTTTACATCAAAGGGTATGACCAAAATAGAAGCCTATCTGGTAAAAATAAGTAATTTTAGTTCATGACATAAGTCATTCTTTTCATATTCAGTTTGTTTATTGAACGGCTATCTTACTAAGAGGAAAATGCATCGGTGACAATCTCGAACATGTTAGGAACTCAAACACATACAAAAATGTGTACTAATCCTATTTTCTTTAAGATTGTAGTCTAGTGTCCATAGGATTAGGTTCAGACTTGAAAGGTAAAAGAAGGAGAGGGAGCTCTACATTGCTCAAGGATTAAATAAATCCTTTCTGTTTCTGGTTTGTAAAATGGTCAGGAAATGAAATTCGAGAATTTTATTGATTGCATTTGGAGAATAAAACCCCATTTTGGCCTAACATTGGGCATGGATATTTATTATGCAGTTCCATGAGGTTTACGAGTGATAGACCAGAAAGGATACTTAGAGACCATGAGAAGTGAGTCACTTCCCTAATGTGCCACCGTTATTTAACATCAGAGAAAAGATAGGAAGGATTTATACACTTTTAATCCCGGATAATTTATCTTCTCAATTTCTGGGACCCATACATGATTTCCTTCACTCACTCTTTTCTTCAAAAACTATCCCCTGTGCGCATGGCATGTTCTCAGCCCTTTGGAAGAGGCTAGAGCTACCTGACTGAACTCAACAGACGTAGCTTATGTCACGGTAGATCTCGCATGCTTCCTTCTGTAGATGAGTATTACTAAATAAATTACTTTAGGAATACATATTTTCATTAGGAACGTAATTTTTATGAAAATTAATATGATGATTTCTATATTTTCATCAAAACTGATTTATTTTATTAATGCATATGTATAAAACATGTTCATTTCCCATCACTCTTGAGATTAATTACACAAAGATTCCCATGAAGCTTATAACATCCAGAGGAATATTTTAGAGACATAAACAGGGCATTGTAAAGCAGTGATTTGTAAAATTTCTTACAAGTTAAAATTCCTGAATTGCAAGGGTCAGAAACTAAGAACTGCTCATCACTCCTCAACTATTTTTCTTTCTCTGTTACCAAATCCTATGATTTTCTCAAGAAAACAGTTTCCCCTTAAGTCTCATGAATGATATAAGTAATTTAAAAGTCCTCCTAATTTGTGTTACTTATTACCAAACATTGCAATATCTTGCGGTCCAGACCAGACTCTTAGACTCCTGCCTATTTGTAATTTTTTTAAAAGACCTAATAAATTAAATCTCTGAAGAATGTTTAAGTGTTCTTCCTAAATCTGTTTGAAATACAAAATATTAAGACTACCACTTAGGAGGAAAGAATACTAGCTATGGAATATCAGATTCTGGAGGAAACATTAAGTGATACATTTGAGGGGTGGAATAAATTTAATCTATCTGTGGATTAAGTTGGCCTTCCAGATTAGAATCTGCGCCTACTTGAGGGCCGCTTCTCTATGTTGGCATGCATACACAGATCAACACAGAAACTTACCCTTCAAATTTTTAGACCTGCTGTATTTTAGATAGTAGTTATTTAATACACAAAACATGAAAATGTGAAAATAACATGGTGTCATGTTTTATGAGCATTTTGACATTTTCAAATTTACTGAACAAGCTTTGCACTTATTCCGCTGCCTGATCCTCAAAGTATAGTATCAATTGATAATATTTTCTCTTACAATTATAGTTAAGTTGATTTTGGTAATTAAGTATGTTTTGGATATTTGGTAACACTTTGTTCATTACTGATCTTTGATTAGCTAAAGGAAGTAATTTTTATAAAAATAAATCAGCAAGGAAGTTTCATTTATTCCTTTTGGGCTCTTGGCTTCATTCTGGGCCTTGTTATTGGCTAGGGGCTTTCTTCTTTCTGCATCCCCTTCATGTTTATCCCTACTTACACCCTCACCACATAACAAATGCGAAAAGTATTCAGAGTGAGTCTGAACTAATTAAAGGTATAAATTACAAAGAATATCAAAAAGACATGTTTATTTTTAGTTCAGAAAAGGCAAAGGCTGAAAAGTAGATTAAAAGTACTGTTAAATGGGGTGTGTGTGTGCGTGTATGTGTGTGTGTGTGTAGGGGTTGTTTGTTTACTCATTTTTATTACAGAACAAGAACATGAAGACAAATCTGGACTAAATCATTAGTCATTAAGTGCCTTTGGGGAGTGGTTTGAGACTGTCTTTAACTTCTAAATTCTGGCGAACATCACCTTTCCTGAGATTAATTCGGAGATAAATGAGGGCAGAGAATGGGTCCCTAACAAGCAGAGGGAAGGTAAGTCCATGTTACCTTACAGAGTGCTAGTGGTTTTAAAACACTGAAATCGCAGAGCATATCCTGGGCAAACTGAGAACTGCTAAGGAGCTTATATGCGATGACACCCTGCCCCCAGGCCCGCAGACACTGTCCTCCAGAGCGTTCTATAAGATAATCAGGTCTTTGACTAGGAGCCCTTCCACCACCCAGCGCGTTCATTTGCACACGTGGGCCAGAGGCCAGCACTTCCACCTGCGCCCTGATTGGATGCAAGCGCACACAGTTTCCCTCCCTATGCTCAACTGCCTTCTACCTCACCCCTCCGCATCCTCCAGTTACCTGCTCCCAGGCCACCAGTATTCCTGCAACAGAGTGTGCAGCTGCTGCAGTGGGCACAAGTGAGTGAGGCAGGTGGTGGCGGAACAATGAATGACCGCTAGGGACCGCAGAGTTAGGCAGAGGGGAGAGGGGCGCGCGCTGTCCTGGTGGAGGGGACACGCACCCCAGCGGTAGCCCTGGCGGTGAACGCAGCCTGAAGTCACATTCGCAGCCTCGCATACCTGCACCGTCTCCCCACCCTCATAACTCAGCCAGCAGCTGAGCAGCTGTGAAGCCAGCCCAGTCTCCCGGGCTCATTTTCCCCTGCGCTCCAGCAGCAAATAGTAGCAACAACGGCGGCAGCCAGAACCAGGCAGGGCTGTTGCTTGCAGCCGCGCAGCTTGTCTCCTCGACACACACACACACACACACACACACACACACACACGCACGCACTGCACCGACTTCAATCTCCGCGCGTCTCCATGCAAATCAAGGACTCAGAGAGGTGAAAGCAGAAGGGTCGTCATGGACAACAGGTACTGGCGTCTGTGGGCAATCCAGTCGCTCCCGGGCGTTTACTGCATGGAGCGCGCAGCTCGTCTGTGGTACGGAGCTCGAGTGGGAGCCCGGAGGGGCGGCCCGGAGCACCGGAGGCGGCCGCGGTGCGGGAGGAGGAGGTGCAGGGGCGTGGGGAAGTGGGAGACGCCAGAACGGACTTGCAGCCTCCGCTGTTTCTGAGTTGCAAATGATCCGGGGGCTGGGGGCTGCGGGCGTCTCCTGGAAGTCGTCTCCACCTCCCTGAGCCTCGGGGAGGGAAGCGGGCGGCCGTGGGCAGCAGATGCCGTGAGCGGAGCTGGCGAGGCTGCGCTCCCGGGAAGCCGGGCTGGGCTGCGTGGAGCCCGGCCGAGCGGCGAGCGGCGAGCGGCGGCGGGCAGCGGGCGGCTGCGAGAGCCCAGGTCGGAGCGCGGCGTCCCCCGGCAGCAGGCGCTCGCTCCGGCTCCCTCGGACCGCGCCGCCGCCGCAGCGCACTGCAGTGAGTTCAGATCCCGCGGCCTCGGGCTGCGTGTGCGGGGCCGGGGGCTGCGAGGCAGGGCCAAGAAAGTTAGCAGAGCCTCGCTTCGGATTTTCCGTGAAATGTGAAATCGGCTCGGCTCGCAGGACTCCTGTGCTGGTTCTGCTACAACCCTGGTACCCTCTTGCCTTTTTTTGCTGCTGGCTATCTTTGGTTACCTAGGTTTGCCGAAACTACCCAGTCCCTGGCGATTTTAGGCCAAAATAGCGGTAAATGCGTGCTAAATTGATTGCCAGCCTGGTCTCCTGAAAGTTACTGCTGAGATGGCTGCTTGCTTATTTTTTCTTTAAAAAAAAATCCTAACAGGCTGCTTTAGTGTTTCAAATGTCCTACCTAATGTTTTTACAAGTTCCACTTCAAATTTGTTTCCTAATCTGCAAAATAAACTAGCAGAGACAAAACAAAATGTCATTAATTTACGTTATTGAAGTCAGATAAAATGGGAACTCCGTCTCTAGACAGCTACTAGGCAACAGCTGAGGCGACGCTGAGGTTCTGATAAATGTGCAACTACTCTCTAGTGGGTAGGATGGAGTTTCCCACTGAGGCAATGATGTCCTCCACTTGCCCAACAGTGTCTTCTTACAATTTCAAATCGGTGATTTTTACATAGATGTCTTGGTACTTGGAAACCAAGCAGTGCTGTGTTTGCTGGCTTAACAAACTTTTCAAAGACAACTACAACCGGTTGCTCAAATGGAAGAGACCCAGCTCTTCTAAAAATCAGCAAAGGCCCAGCCTGAGGTCAAATAAATGGCCAAATACACAGAAACGTGGGAAGAATGCAAAAGGTCTTTTCCTAAAATAGAAAGTAGAAATAAGTAATCTGAAGGTGTTAGGTTATCTAGCCAGGTCTTTTCACACAGACCAAGGTTTTTGGTGGTTGCTTTGTGTTTTTGTCTTGTCTTGCTTTGTTTTGTTCGTTTTTAATGAAAAAAGAAAGTAACAGTACAAAACGTATGGACACAAAAAATGCTAGACTTAGTTGGAAAACCATTGGAGAAAGCTCTGTATGATTACACTTTTGTCCAAAAAGATTATTGTGGGAGCAGAGGTTACTTAAAACAGGATCTGGGTTTCTAAGTGGGCACTTTCGCAGGCTGGCTTAACCCTATAGGAAGAGGGAATCTGAAACTTTTGAAATGAACATTATGAGATGTTAAGCAATTCTGATGTCCTCCTTCATGAACTGTGAGGAAATTAAGGGTCATTTCATCTTGTTATTTCAGTTTACATTCTATTTCTCTTTCTCTAATTTATCTAATCTTCATTATGTTACTAAAAATAAAACATGTTCAGGACATAATTTGAATTGTTTTACCTAATTTACTCCTTCTCTTTCATTCCTTTAAGATACAAAGACTTACTTAGAAGTTTTGGCATTGTTGTTGTAATACTTAATTTGGTATAGGCCATCTCTTCCATGGGCCAAATTTCTCTTTCTATAATGTCTACAGGTGACTTTAGGAATTACTGCTTAAAATAATTAGGAGAACGTTATGATAGTGCGTATGTGGGGGTAGCTATGAATTTTAATGACAAAAAGAAAAAGAAACATTTACATGCAAACTAAAAGAGTATAAGTTGGAATGCGTTTTCAAGAATTTTTATGTTACTCCAAAGTGGACCATAACTTGGACTCTGGATATTTCATCTTGGAGAAGGAAAATCAGGCTAAGTGTACTGAGAGCAGTTTATTAAAATTTCTTTAAATATTGAAATTTGTGCAAGTGGAGTTGAGCTATAAACCCTCTTTTGTGTAATATTTTCCTTTCTCTGTTAGTAAACAGAGCTCATACTGTGGCTGAAAAAGAGACTGACAGAAACAATTTTTAAATCAAATGACTATTTTCATAATTAAACCCCTGGTGAGGTTTGTTGGGGCAGTCTCTGATCTGGGAAAGTATCCTATGTCTCAGGGCTTTCCTCATACATTGTCAAAGGAACTATGGCTTGACAAACGTGAGGTAGCTGTTAGTCCCTCGGTATAATTTTGTCCATCAATAATGACTGTGATGTGATATCCAGACTTGAAATAATATTTAAGATTTTGCTTGCCTGGATGTTTCTGATTCTGGTTGTCCTTAGGACCAGAGCTGTAGTTATGTATATGCCCGACACTGTTACAGAATTCTCTAATACCCTTTTCCCAGGAGCACTGGCCCAGAGCACGCTTCAGGCAACACTGTGAATAAGCCTCTTTCTGTTGCCTCTCTTCATGCCTTAGCATTTTCTCCTCTTGTATAAAACATTGACAGAGAATAACATCAAGTAAGAGTGCATGCCCTTGCTCACCATTTGGCAGTAACTGTGAAGTAGGCGCAACTCCTCACAAGCTTCTTGGATTCCTCTTGTGTATAATTTGGTCATACAATGGATGTTATGTATTTGGCAAGTACTATGGGCACAGTAATCACAGGTAGTTGGTCAAGTGGTATAAGTAGTACTTTTTTGTATATCAACTTTAGGAGACTGTGTTCTCTCCCATTGGTAGGAAACTCAATCTTACCGAGGCTTGAAAAGCTGCAGAAAGCAACCTCTTTGGTTTTTAATGGGTTACAACTAAATCCCAGTGTGACCAACTCCCCTAATCCATATTCTGTCCATTTTATCAAAATGGCACCCTGCTGTGGGTTGGGGGAGGAAGCAAATCGTTCACTGTTTGCAGTAGGTATTGAGTCCTTGAGAAACCATACCAGGTAACAGAGATTTTCCTGTTCTTCCAGGTGCAAGGCTTCAACAACTAAATTTGGAACTTAAATTGACCACCACCTTTAAACTTGGCACACTTAGTGTTTTTACTTCTTTTCCATTATGACTTCAGAAACTGTGGAAATGAAACTTGGAATATTGCCAGGAAGGAAGATGATAGAGTTAATAAAAAAAAGAAAGAGGGGCCGGGGAGATGGCTCAGTGGAATAAGTGCTTCCCTGGCAAGCGCAAGGACCTGAGTTCAATCCCCGATTCTGCCCCCCCCCCCAAAAAAAAGAAAAGAAACAAAGAAAGAATTTGGAAGATCTTAAAATGAAGGGGTGGAGTGGTAAAAGTAAAATTAAAAACATGATATCATAGGAGGCAGTATTAGAGATACTTCAGAATTCATTCTGAGGGGCATCTTTTTTATTTCTTAAAGAACAAATGATTTAGGCTATAAGTAGGATGAAGACATTTAGATCTCTTTCAGTAGTGCTGAAGGCCTCTTCAAACAGCCCTAAATTCTTATCATCCACGTGAGGTTTATCTTCAGATTACCCTTACATATTTTTGCAAAGCAGAAAAAAAAGTGATTCAAAGAAAATAGGTTGGGGAGGAGTCCAGGTAGTGACCAAGGAGATATAACAGTGCTGGAAAGACCGCTGGTTCTTGCACGTTTGTCACCTAGAAAATTGTCAGGAAGCAAAAACCATACTTAGTGAGAATTAACTCAAATGGTCCATGTAGGAAAAGAGTGAAGAGTAAGGGAGTCCAATGTGATTATTGCCATTTGTCTCCTTGTCACAAATGACAACAAACACCAAGATGGAATAAAGGGAAAATGTTACAGGCACAGATCCAAGTAATATTTTAGGATTGGCCTTTCTCAGCATGCTAAATTTAAACAGCCAAAATTCCTTTATAAGGATTATCTGAGTCAACAATTTGAAATGAAGAATTTGTCTTTAATAGGGAGCGAGTGTTGCACTGTAAATTTGAAACACAATGTCCTTGCCTCAGTTCTTGCTGATTGGCAATAGGCCAACCACTGCCGATGCAAGGGACTCAACAGCTGTTATCTTCAAACTCAGAAAATCAATAAATATGGCCCACAACCAAAGCTAACACTACCCAGGTACAGTCAGATGCAGACATGGGCTTGGAACTTTCACCTGTTGGCCTGATTCACTCTCTTGTCTTTTTGACATTTCACATTGGGGTTGGTCACAGAATTCTGAAAGCTAATTTTAAATGCTGTAATGAAATTGACTTTCTTGTCCATTGGCTCCCATCGTCTTCCAGTTTAAAATGATGGCAGTAGGTTTATTGAGCCTGTGTGCTATATGCCTGTGCTCTTGTAATCATCTTGTGCATTTAGTCTTAACAGTATCCTTACAGGTTATCTTCTTAGTATTTTCTTTCCAATTTATAAAGAGCAAATTGAAGAAACAGCAACTGTATTAAGCATTTTTATTTCCTAGTTGTAAACTCACAGGAGTAGAGCTGGGGCATCAATCCAACAGTCTGGTTCTATAAACCACACTTTTAACAAAAATGCTGTAAGTCCACTGTTCCCTCTCACTGGCTCATAAGCCTCTATAGCTTATGATATTTTGCATCTCCTCTGTCTCTCCTTAGACTTTCATTTCTACAATTCACTTCTAAACATCCAAACTCCTCTGTTGTCACTCCATACTAATGTGTCACAGCACTTTGAAGATTCTACTTGGCTTCTACTATTGGTCCATCTGCTGTGGTTCCACACTGAAA